CATCCCAGCCAGGAGTGCCAAGGGGCTCTGGAAGACCCCTGGGTCAGGCATCAGCCAGACAAACCAGGTTTCTTTTCTCCCCAGGAGCAAAGGCAGGGGCACAGAGACAGTAGAGGCTTGGCCACAGAGGGAGAAATTCCATCTGCCTAGGGAGAGGTGGGAGGCATCAGCCGGTGAACTGGGTCAGGGGAGAGAAACAAGCTCAGGTGCCCTGGGATGGATCAGACACAGGTGAAGCAAATGGATTCTGGTTCCTTTGTGAGGTTTTTAAATGAAAACAAGATCCATTTCAGGTCTGACCTGTCAAATCAAAGCGTTTTGCTTTGTTAAACTCAGAAGTGAGGCTGGAACAAATGTATAGAAGTGTAAGGACACCACATGCACTTGTCCCAAAAAACACACCATTTTGATAACAAAAAAAAAAAAAGGACACTGCATCACACTGAACTCTTCAAAGAGCAGCATAAGCAGTGTCTGGCTCTCCCCATGAGCTGCCATGACTGAGGAGAGGGTGAGGGCACCCCAATCTCCCCAAGGTGACAGGGGTTCCACTTGCCCACTGCCCTCACAGGCATTCCCATGAGAAGGGATACTGGGGGGCACTGCTGGGGCTGGGGAGCCCAAACCACAACACAGCTGAGCAGCCTCAGGTCTCACCCCCACCAGGCAAGAGGGTCCTGGCTCTGGTACAGTCAGACACACGAGCACTTCCTGAGGAGCTGGATCCAGCCAGACCAGCACAGAGTGGTTCCAACACAGCCCAGGCACAGTGTGAGCCCAGCAGGGGCTGACTGTGCTCTCAAAGGGGCCAGCACTGCCTTCCATGAGGAACCAAGCTCTAGCACAGCAGCTCCAGCCATCCTGTGAGCCAGCCTGCTGCAGATCTCAGCTACACCTTGGCACGAAGGCATGGAGATTCCAGACCCATTCCTGGGCATCTGCAACTTCCAACAGGAGTTGGGGGCAATCAGTCCTCCCCAGGACCCAGCTTTGGTCACCCAGCTCTCCCTGCTGGGGGGTGAGCAGAGCCATCTGAGGCAGCTGCTGGAAGAGCCCTCTCTGTTTTACTGCTGACAGAAGGCAGGGCTGGCTCCTGTGACCGGATCAAGACAAGTTTCTTTGCCAAAGCCATTCCCAAAGCCCAAGTCCCAGGGACTGTGCCACAGAGCAGCCAGGCAGGATGGGAGCACTCCTCCCAATGCCACCCAAACCTCCCTTCCCAGAAAGGGAATGTGCAGAGCTGCCCTTCACCCTCCAAACCAGGAGGAAAAAACCAGGATTTCAGGCAGTGTGGGTACGGCACCTTCCAGCAGGGTTTTGTAGCACCCCACTGCCGTGTGCTGCTTTCCAGGCAGCAGCACTCTGCAGGCAGCAGGCGTGGGGGATGAGGCAGTTTTCAGTACTACAATACATATCACAGGCCCTTTCAGTTACACTGCTATTTCTCTATTCAGAGCTCTTAATGCCAAGTGGTAGCATCCTCCCCACTTTCTCCATCCCCGCTCTTCAGTCACTCCTCAGCTCTCAAGAAATAGCCTCGTTTCTTGTCTCTGATCAGAGGAGCAGCCTGGCACAGACCCTGACACAGCCTTTCATCTTCCCATCATTCGTGGTGCTTTCATTTTACAAGTGAAAGTCAAGTAACCAGCTTGCCTCCTCTTTTCTCCCCCTCACAGACTCCTGCTTCTCCTCTCCCAGCCTTGCCAGCACACACACCAGGACACCCTGCATGTGCCACAGCCCTTCCCGTCTCTGAGCCTCTGGGTCCAGCACTGTGACCACTGAACTTGTCCCTGCTCCTTCTTCCCTCCTGACCCAGGCAGTTCTCACCCAGGGAAGAGCCTTCTACCCCAGAGCCAGCAGGAATATTCTGGCTGTCATCCAGGCTCTGGTCCTCATGGCTCCCAGAGAGGTTTTCACTCAAAGATCACAATGGAGTGGAGGGAGAAGACAGTTTGACATCTGGTACATGTTTAGAGTTAAAAACCCCAAGGTTTCAGGCTCTGGAAAATTTCTGGACCAGGACAAACTTCATGACCTCCTTCTAGCCTTAAGGGAGAGGAGGAGCAGGAGAGCAGCACAGTCCCCACATCTCTGCTGCAGGCAGCAAGAGAATGCTCTAGACAGAAACATGGCAGAAAACCCTCAAAAAACACATGGACAGGACTTTGCATCCCTGCTGGATACTCAGCACCTCAACCATCACCCTCCCCTAACCCGGCCTCAGGTACCACAGTCACACTGACTGCCTGGACAGGGATATGGAGCAGAATCCCAGGAGTTCCAGCTGCACTTTGGGGGCACAAACTGTCCTTCCTGGGCAAGAGTGGGTCCTGCACCTCCTCCTGATGCCCCATCAACAGTAAATTTTATCAGTCAGATTAGAGCACCACAATCTGCTTGGAAAAGCCCCAAGCTCTGCATCTCCAAGCTCAAACCAGAGTCCTCCCATCCAGTTTCTGAAAGGTAAAATCCACCTCAGAGAGTGGCAGAAGGCACTGAAAGCTCCAAACTCCCTGGAGCTGGGGCAGGATTCACCACCCACTCAGCCAAAGCACTGTCACTCCTCTTCAGGGCAGCTGGTGGCAACAAAGACTTTCCAGCAACATGATTACATGGTTTTAACACTGAGGCACAATTCCTAGAAGGTTACAGCCTGAGAAGGGCCACCACACTAAAGAAAAAAAATAAAAGTAACAAATATAAACAAGAGCAGGCTCAGCTCCAGCACTGGAGTGGCAGAAAGGCAAAGGGATGAGTAAGACAATGCTCTGCTGAACAGCTCAGCAAGTGATGGGGGACACAGTGCAGGTACCAAAGTAGCTACTGTGTTCCTCTCATCTGAAGGCTGAACTGCCTTCTTTTCTTTTTCTTTTTTTTTTTTTTGCTTTTTTTTTTTTTCTTTTTTGTGTTGTTTTAAAACAAACTCCCCCAATTCTGGGTCAGTGACCCTGAAAACAAACAGCTGCATGCAGCCACATGACTCAAAGATCCACAGCACCATCCTTGTGGCCCCAGGACTCCCAGCAAGACCCTTTCTCTGTCAGTAACAAGTGAAAAATTGGTGACAAAAATCCCAGCTGGTGGGACTGCACTCAATGTTCAGCCCTGACTCGCAGTGCTGTTTGCAGGTGCCCACAATACCACTAATTTTCCAAGGACAAAAGTTAATCAGATTGTTTTTGCAGCCACAGAGGAGAAAACATATTTCAAGCCGTTACTGGGGTGGGGGATTTTACTGAAAACACTAAAACATGCAGATGTTAACAGCAGATTCAAAACATCATATCAAAGATTAAAAATTTTTTAAAATTAAATTTTAAAAGAAACAAAAAAAACCCAAAAAAAAAAAAAAAAACACACAAAGGACCCCATAAATACTTGGAAACATATTTAAACCAGCAATCATAAATATTATTAGTCATAGTAGGCAACAAGAACACACTGACTTGCAGCCTGTCATTAATATTTCTTTCCAAAACAGAAGGCTTCACAAAGTTGTGAGGTTTTCTAAGATGTTTAAATAAAGGCAGTTTGAACTGCTTAGTTCGTCTGAAAGAGATCTGGGGAGAAGCTGCTGAGAGTATTCATCACTGGGAAGAGAAATCTTGGATTTTTCCCTCCTGGGGGACATTTTAGGAGAGAAGGCAGCCTGTTTATCAGAGAAATCTTTGCTGAAGCTCAAGTAAAACAATATTCACAACTCCAGCAGAGCCTCACCAAGCACACCAACCTCAGCTGAGATGTAATCCCTAACAGCCCCTGCATACCAGGAGTGGAGAAGGACCAGCACAGGATATTCTGGTCCTCTGTACCATTTAACATGTCCTCCGTGCTGCTGCACAGCCTCTCCCCCTCCAGATGTGGGGCTGCTGCCCAGCCTGCTCGCCTGCCTCCTGCGCCGGCAGCACAGCACGGACGGGGAACTTCCCGGGAAGCGGCTGCCTCTCCTGCACCAGCCCCTGCTGGAAGCCACATCGCTTCGTTTTATTGCATTTTGGGGTTTTGTTTCTACAAAAAATAATAAATGAAACTGGAATTTGGGGATGATAAAATACTCGGAATGCTAGAAGCCATGCGGAAGCCATGTGCTGGTTGCAACTCAACTCCAAAGGGAAGCCTTAAAGACACCAAAACTGTGGAAAGAAAAAATTTTTCTATTGTCTGCTCTATTTCTTTTTTTTTTTTTCTCCACCCCCCTCCTTTTGAAAGCTTAAACTTGACTAAAGCGGCTCGGCCTGTGCCAGAGCAGACAGGGAGCTTGGAAGGAGATCAGAAGCCTTTGGGGGGTCGTGGCTCAGCCTAGGATGTGACAAACAGCTGCCCTTGGCCAATGCACGCCCGGGACCACGACCCCCGCCCTGCCCCGACCCGTCCAAACAAGGAGCATCCCCGGGGACTGCCGAGAATGGGCCCTTCGACGGGCCTCAAGCACCCTGAATTATTTAGGGACCCTGGAGCTGGCCAGCAAACCAACCCCCCAAAACCTCCGCCTCCCTCCGGACTGCACCCGTCTCGCAAACCCTCAGAGAAGGGACCAGGGAGCCTAAAAATGGGCGAGAAACGGGGTCAAGAAGGAAAAAACCGATCCTCAAGGCAAGAGAGCGGGGTCAGGGTCCCTCGGTGTGTCAGGGGAGCAGGACCAGAGACGGTCGATCCCCGGGGGATGGTTCCCAGCAGCTCCCATCCGAGTCCCTGTGGAACGGAGCGCTGAAGCCCGCGGCAGCGCGGCCGAGGGAGGGGAGCCCGGCAGGAGGGGAGCCCCGCGCCACGACACGGACCGAGCCCCTGCAACAGCTCGGAAAACTTCCCGGGAGAGCAACGGGGAGACGGGGGAGCGTCTCCGGGTGCCGCCCGCCACCCTGGGGACGGCGGGTGACGGCTCCTTCCCCATCATCCGGCGGGCTCCACACAGGAGGTATTCCCCGCCCTGCCGGCCGCTCCGGGGGCGTGGGGGCCCCGTGGGGCTTACCTCGCCGCCGAACACCTGCAAAGGATACGGGTTACAGACCAAGCGGAGGCACCAGCTCCGCGGCCGGCTCTCCTGGCTCAGGTAGAAAAAGACGACGGGGGCCAGCGCCGGGTAGGGCAGCGCCTCCGCCTCCGAGTCGCCGCTGCCCGCCTCCCTGTCCCCCGGCCCCGGGTGGCCCCCGGCCCCGGACAGGTCATTAAGGCGGATGAAAGTCTTGGCTCTGCCCGGCTCCGAATCCTCCTCGGCCGCTCGCGGTCCATCTTCGTCCATCCTCCGGCCGGCGGCCCCGGGGGAGCCGGGGCGACGCGGGGCGAGCCGGTGGGACGCCTAGAGTGGCGCGGCCATGGCGGGGTAGGGGGGCTAGGGGATGCGGCGGGGCGGCTTCAGCGCCGGGGTGGCATGGCCGGGCGAGCCACTGCCTCTCCCCCCGCCGGGGCCGGGCCGCCCCCCTCCTCCTGCCCTGCTGTCTGCGGGCTCCGTAGCTCCTCCTCGCCGTGCTTTCGGGGGCCCGAGCCGCGGGCAGGGAGGCGGCGGCGGGGCGGCCCCCGCTGCCGGTGCTGGCCCCCAGCCGGGGGGCGGCCCGCCCTTAGCTGCTCTGCCTGTCCCCTCTGCTCCCCAACATCTGCCCGGGGCGATGGGATGCTGCCCGGCGCCCCGGGGACGGGCGGCGGCGGAGGATGCTCCCGCGGCGGCCGCGCCGAGCCGAGCGCTCCGCACAGCTGGATCCCTCACTCCAACTTCAAGTCCCGGCTCCTCCTCCCCCCGCCGCCAATGGGGGCTCGCCCGCGGCCCCCCAGAGCCTCCCCATTGGCTGCCGAGCCTGTCCGTCAGGGAGCACAGCTGGACGGGCAGCGCGGTCCCCGGCGGGGCTGGACGGGGCGCACCCGCCCGGGCACCCCCTGCCCTGCGGGGCTGCGGGGGAGAACGGCGAGACGAAGCGCCGAGCGCTGGGGCAGGGAAGAGCGAGAAGGCAGCACGACGCGTTAGACAACCCTCGGTGGGACGCTGCAGCACCGGGAGAGGGGGAGCCGGGGGGAGGCAGGAGGGAGAGATGCGGCGGGAATGGACTGCCCCGCCCGGTCTCTCCTGCGGGAGAGAAGAGCGCCAGGAGAGCAAGGCCGGCAGGGCCAAAGTGCCGAGGGGACTGCAGGAGCCGGTATGGAGCCCTCCGAGCGCTGCCTGAGCCTCGCACGAGATCCTCGCCCTGCTGCGGGTTCCCAGGGGCTGCCTTCTGCCCCGTCCCCGCCGCCCAAGAGCCGAGGGCGTGCTGCTGGGCTCGGTGCATGTGGGTCACGGCCCGGTCTTCCCCCCTTCCCAGTCTCCGGCTGCTCGAGAGTGCTCACGCCGTCCCGAGCCGGTCGCCCCCGGGCTGAACGGGGGTACACGAGCCCGGCCAGCAGCTCGCAGAGGGGCTCGGCCCCGAGGAGGGGAGGGGGACCCGTCACCCCCCAAGCATGGGAGCAGCCGGACCCCCGGTCCCCCCTGCTCGCAGGACGCGGCCGGAGCTCCCTCTGCCGGTGCGAGTCCCGGCCGGAGCCGGCCCCGAGGACGGGGGACCGCGCCGCCAGCGCCCCGGGGGACAGGCGGGGGACACACGGGCACTGCCGAGTCAGACTTTCTTCCAGCGGGACCCGAGTAAAGGATTTTCTGCCAGCACCCGGCGTTTGGACATCCCCAGGCTGAGCCAGGATCCTGCTTCTGAATGCTTGGAATTTTTTTTCCACTTTAGAAACAGCTTTCTCACTCTTCCCCAGTAGCTGCTCCATCATATTTTTATAAATATGAACATGTCCTTCCCAAAAGCTCCAGCTAGGCCAAAAACACCTGCAAGAACAACAGGCAGATGCTCCTGTCTGACCCAAAATGCCTTCTCTTGGCCAAATCCTGCTGGCCTAGGAGCACACTTGATCTTGGATTCACAGCCTGTGCTGTCCAACCCGAGACAAATCACATTGCTATTGGCAAAACTTCAAGGCCAGCCAGACTCTGCTGCAGAGCTGTGAGCGACAGTGTCCAGGCAGAGGAGATTCAAATCCCACAGCCCTCTGTGCAGACCCTCCCGCAAGCCCAGAGGGACACTGGTGTGACAGCACACGGCACATGTGCCACCAGGCAAGTGGAGAGCTCATGACACAGGTGCTAAGGTCAGGCAGTCCCATTTTTTCTACAGGTTTCTGAGCCATTCCCTGCTCAGGATGCATTGTGTGCACGGAAGGGGCAGAGCTTGGCTGTCTTTGGCTTCTTCCTGCCACAGCCAAAGCACAGGAGCACGCCAGGAGCTCCTGAGCCCCCAGCCAACCCTTCCACAGTAGGGCACGCACCAGCCCTGGCAGAGCACGGCCCAGCAGCTCGGCTGTGGCAGAAATCAGTTCCCAGGAAGGTCCAGGAACACATTTGCATGTACAAGGTACAGTCTTAGATCAAGCAATTTCCTCGCTACATATGTACAGCCCGGGCACAGCTGCTTTTGATCCGATTCTCTTTGTATCCCAATAATGTACAGAGAGCCTTTGTGTGTCGGTCTGTTTATTTAAATGGATTTGGAGCAAACATTTTTTTAATGCTGAAGCTTTGAGCCTCTAAGTGGGTTACCAGATTATATGCTGTCTTCATTTTAATTACATTTGGCTCGTTTTGTTTATTGCATACATTTTCAAGAATTATGCTTACCGTGAGAATTGAAAGCGTTTTGCTTTAGAAGATACCTTCCCTATAAAGGGATCCAACATCACACACGAGAGACGATGAAAACCTTCCCATCTCCAATAGCATTCTCCCTTCAACTAGGACAGGAAAAAAGGAAGAGGATATACGGTCTGTCAAGCCTATATTTAAAGTGAAGCACTCAAGGAGGATCAAGCCTGCACCACCAGCCTAACAGGAGTTTGGCATGAGCTAATACTAAACGAAAAAGATGTTCTTGCTAGGGGAAGAGTGATCTTGGTTGTGGATCTCAGAAGGACGAGGACCCAGAGCCCGGCACAGCCCAGCCAGGGTGTTCATTTGCCCACCCTGAATCAGGGAGTCCTTTCCAGCACTGCCCCAGCCCACGGCATCTCCCCTGGGAGCCCTTCCCTTGTGCCCAGGCTAGACCAGGAATTTGTCTTCCTCAGACAACAGGGTTTGTTTGAGGGGGGCTCAGCTTCCAGACAGGAGTGGAGTGATCTGTCAAGGACAGGGAACAGAGCTCCAGCCCAGAGCCTTGATGAGAAGGATGGAAAGCAGCAAGAAGTGACCCCGGGGACCAGAGCTGCACATTTAGGGATTTGGGATGTAAATGAGTAGAAATTTCAATACAGCATAAGGAACTAACGAGGTCGCAGTCACCTCACATGCACAGCCCTGGCCTTCTAATTAGACCAAAGATAGCACAGGAGAGAAGGGATGAGGGTGAGCCAGGGACAGCTTAAATAGTGGCAGGAATTTTAGGGATATGGTGGTTTTGGAGGGGCAAGAGGAAGGGGATTCGTGCACTACAACATCAGTTATGCCCTCAACAGCAGTTGTGATGAGCCCCAAATTACTCAGCAGACCCCTGACAGGGACACCTGAGGAGGAGGAGGAGGAAGAGGAAGCTTTCATTCCAGCACAGCCCTCTTGTTCTGCTCTTCCACATAGTTTAGGAGGTTTTTGGGGGGAGCACAGCCCTGCACTCTTTACCTTAGCAGTCCTTCTAGGAAAAGCATTATGAGCAACATTTCACGTCACGGGGGAGACTTAGCCAAGCTGACGCTCACCAAAAATGGCTCCAGCCCCAGCATGGTAATGGGATTTGGAATCAGCCATACAGGAGCTACTCGGAGCTGCAATAGGGAAAGCCTACATCTGTAACCACTTTGGCAGGAGGAGGATTGAAGACAGCCTCAGCAGAGAGGCTGCAGCCCGATGGGAACCAGTCGCTATTTGTTTTGCTGTTGACACACAGCTGCAGTAGCTGTGGGTGATTTTAATAAGGCAGGACAATATTTCTATCAGTTCTGGGAGCTATAGATGGAACCCATACAGATCCAGCTCAGGGCTGAGTGATTAATCACAACAAGGTCCAAAGCTCCTCTCATGCCTTGGAACCGGATGGAAAACACACATTTCGCTTCGGATGTCACAGTCTGGGGGCAGAGCAGGCCTCCCACAACCGATTCACAGACTCAAGTGCTGGGGAAGAGCACTTTGAGAGCAGCAAATCTGCTCTGTCCTTGCTCCCCACCCCGCCAGTGACAGCCAGTTCTGTGGGATCAGAGTCCTTGCTGTGCAAAGGGGCTCCTGGCTGCCCTGTCAGTGAATTGACTCCCTGAGAAACACCATTCACACTATTTGAGCTGACACAGCTACAGCAGGGGCACCCACCAAACCCAGCCTCACACACACCCTGCTTCCCTGCCCTCCCTGCTCCAATGACCTGGCTGCTCCTCCCAGCCCCAGCCCTGACACAGCCCTGATGGGATGCTCCTGTACTCAGTACCTACAGCTCAAAGAATACTTTCCCTCTATGGACAGCAGTGGAGGATCTGTGAGGAGCAGCAAACCAGCCCCATGTTCCAAACAGCACAAACTAGCACCTTAACTCCTCATAAACCCATCCAAACACCTGATTTCCCCCAAGAGGTCCTTTTGCTAATTCCCTCTGTCATCATCCAGACACTTTCATGCTCTTCCCAGTTATCCCATCAATGCCATGGTCTTCCCAGTCTGGTGCTGCATCCCCAAGCCCCAGGGGCTGGGTACTGGCACCAGGAACCACCACGGAGGCTTTGGGAGAAACTTAATGAAACCAACTGCTAGAGGCCATAAGCAGGGCTTCATCTTTCTTTTTTTTTTTTCCTCTTTAATGAATGTGTTTATTGTCTCTCTCAATCTTTACTAAGTGAAGAGCCAGACAAGTAGTTGGAGGGAATATGCACTGTGGCATAAAGCACCACCACTGTGCAAGGGGACGTCCGTGACCAGCGCAATCCACTGGGTGTCCATGAAGGAATTCATCATTTAGGCTGGGGAATGCTTATTGCTGGCGGATGACCAGCACTCTCCTACATGATCAATGTTTGCACCTTGACTTCTTGGCACACAGTCCATCCATGCCCGAGCACGGCCCGAGTTTTGGGAACTGCTTCGTGTGCGAGGGCTGAGCCCCTTGGGGCTGTAGCACCGATGTGGCTCATTCTCCTGAGAGAGCAAGGAGCTGAGCCGAGCCCATGTTTCAGCTCTGGGGCTCAGAACATAATTTATAATAAAAATCTCTCTGCCCCCGCCATCTTTAAAAAATTTACATTTCCCTCCACAACCTCTATTACCTCGGGAAAACATGAAGAGGAGAGGGAAGTACCCTTTCAAGGCTATTCTGTCTGGGCAGATTGGGTGTTTTAGTGGCTACATCCTGGCTCTGACCATCATAAGGCACAAAACCAGACCGCCCCCCCTCCCAGACAGCACACAAGGACACAGCACTACACTGGATATTGTCCCTGTTAAATAGCCTCTCACATTTACCATGGCTTCCTCCCTCCAGCAGGAAAAGAAACTCTGCTGAATCCAGCAAAGATCAAGGCAGGTCCTGTCCAGTGCCCTGGAGAGGTTCTGCCTGGCTCTCCCCCTGGACATGGAGCCTCACCCAGCTCCTGGCTTGCTCCCTACTGAAGGCCTTTATTAAAT